TAAAAATTGTCAAAGTTGAAATTTATAATAAAAACATAGTAAGTGGACTCAAACTTTTGGAAGCAACTGTATAAGCAACAAGTCTTCAGGTGAAGAAAAAGCTATTATGTATTTAAACCAAAGTTTTTTTCTTATTCTAATTAGGAAAAATTTAAATCAAGATCTTTTTCTTATTCTAATTAGGCAATAAGATCAAATGGTCTCTAGTCCATGCTATGTTTCAACTCTTTGATTATAGTTAAAAATATAATTTCCTGAAAGTTATTGAAGAACATCATAATTGATAAGGATTTCCATTATTCTTAAGACCTTTTTACTATTACAAGATAAAAAAATTGTTAGAAAATTTGATTTTTTAATAATAAAAGATGTTTACCTATAAAATTCTTTTAACTAGATATGGTTGCTGGAAGATATTATATTAAAATAATATGACTCAGTTTTTATTAAGTCACATAAGAACCTGGAATCTATTATAATTTACCTCTTTACTATAGATGAATAAAAAATCATTGTTTAAAGAAAGTTGAAATCAAATATATTCTGAAAGTAAAGACTTATATTAAATGATAAATTTTCTTAGATGATATATAAGAAATAAATCAAGATCAAGAATAGATAAGTTTTTCAGATGATTAAGAGAAGAAAGAATATTTCAATCAGATATTTTTTATTGAAAAAAAGTCTTAAAAAGCAGGTTTTTGAAGGAAGCTAAAGAATTTTATTTTATTTTTTTATTTTTATCTCTTTTTCCCTTTTATCAATTTATCCTTTTATAATTTCCTGTATTCCAATGGCTTGATAGAATATTCAACAGTGACAACCTGCTGGTAATGAAGTGGTAGACTAGAAGAAGGGTGTTTATTTAAAGACCATCATGGAATAATATATTGTCTTCAAGATTAAATTTAAAGACTATTATTGCTTATGATAAGTTTGTTAGATTTAATAGAAATGTTTAGCTGTAATATATATTATGCTGCTCAAGTGAAAATGTACTTATGTTTTCAATTGATTAATAAACTACGATCTAGCATGGCTGCGGGTATACAAAAAAAAAAATAATAATTTGGTTGAGTCACTATATTGTTTTCGGAAATCATTAAGGTTATTTTAACGCGTGACTTCGATTTGTTAATCGAACTTCCAATATAAATATAGACTTGCTTATTATATTTACCTTTCCAATTAACGATCCCTCGAACCTATCCACTCAAAGTCATTTTATATTAATACTACTCTCCAGAAAATTGAAAATTTTCATAACCTCTAACAATATGTGGGATTCTGATGGAATCACTGTAAACGAAGGCATAGAAAACTTAGATATCGAATGGTCATGTAAGTTGATCCTATAGATCGATTACCCTACCTCTTGGTTTTGAACTCAATAAAACATTCTTTTGAATAGGCACAGAAAATGGGCTCACAGAACGGAGACGTTCATGGCTTTGGGTAACGTCTTTTTGTCGTTTCTCTATTGTTATGACCAGTTTCCAAAAAAGCCTAACTGTTTGTTTAATCTAAACGCTTATTCACACAAGCTTCGTGAGGTGACTTCGCGAGACGTAGAAAACGGAACGGACGTGGTACAGTAATTACTTTACTTATTTTACTATGTTCATTGGTTGCGCACATGACTACACAAAATGTTCTATTTTCACGTTCTAGCAAGGAATCACCTGGGATACCTTCAACACTACGCGTCAGCGGTATCGTGAGCATCGGTACATACTTCCCTCAAATCTCGCAATAAGTTTATTATTATTTATTATTGACATAATATTTACAAACAACAGGCTTGCAAATTACAAAAATTACGAGAATGTCCAAAGATCACATGATGAAATAAAGAAGGTTAGTGATGATTTAATTAAAATAGTAATTATTTTTGAGGATCTATATTAACTTTGCCATTACCCAATGATTGATATAGGAAATCAAACTTGTCAGGACTGATGCACAGTATTACAAGTTCAAATACACAACTTTATCGCACAAATGTTCTATCGTTCACTTTCAATTGCGAAATCTTTTGTGGGCTACAGGAAGAAATGACGTTTTTTATACACGTTCGTAATCTCGTTGAATAATGTTTTACTAATTTGCTAGTTTTCTAAATTCTTGTTGATCACTTCATTAGGCTCTTCACGTATTGGCCATTGGAATTCAATAACGAGAAAATCACAACCTGCGCTGGATCTAAGTTACAACAACCGTAATGCCGAAACCCCATTTCAAATAAGCACTTTTGCATGCAAATACAATTGCTTGCTTGTTGGTGGTATGTTACCATACAACAAAATGTTGTCAACCTTGATTAATAATGAGACATACTATATCAATATCTAACATTTGATCGGTCACATTGACAGGGTTGTATGGGGAATATGCCTATCGAAGACTCGATGCAGAGCCTGTCAAATTTGGTAATATAACCACAGATCAGAATGGAATAACGAATCACATGGATATCACCGAATCACGAACAGGAAGTGAGTGACGTTACTGTAATTTTATATCGGATGAAATTTCTTTTTACAGATATTTTATCTTTATCAGGCATCGTCGCGATTATCTCTAGCAATGACAAAAAGTCTAGGATTATGGATCTCGCAACTTTGCGGTTTATTGAAGCTCACGACTTTCAATGGCCAGTCAATGTGTGTATCGGCAGGATATTATGATTTACATGAAGTTATCTCAAAATAATGCTTGGTTTACTTGTACTTTTATGCAGGTAAATTGAGCGTTATTTGGAGGCCATGCCATTGACACTAACTTAACACCGCCATATCTTATGTATTATTTAGTGTACTTCTTTGAACCCCAATAAGAATTTACTCTGTGTTGTTGGGGATGACACTGACACTATGATAGTCAGCGCCGACTCGGGAAGACGTATGTTTTGCTCTGATTAGTGTTAATTTGCGGTCGTATGCCTTTTTCAGATGAATTGACTCCTAATTCATATTTAAGATGTTGCCACCCTAAAGGGTCACATTGATTTTTCATTCGCGTGTTGTTGGAGTCCAGATGGAAATACAATTGCGACAGGAAATCAAGGTATTATTTATTATTACCTCACTGTCTCCATTGTGAAAACCATATAGCTTTTTATACATTAAATTACATTAAACATAATTTATTTTAGATAAGACCACAAGGTACATATCTTACATGTTGGGTTGAATATTTGTGTAAAAATTCCATCAGCAATAGACACTTGTAATCACCATTAATTAGATTGTACGATATACGGAATATGTCAAAAGCATTTAATGTTCTGGGTGCTAAAATGGGAGCCGTAAGGTCACTTCACTTCTCTGAAGACGGTCGTTATTTAGCAATGGCAGGTTTGTATGTTTTTTATTTGCCGATAAGTTGCGGCAATAATACTGAATACTATTTATTTCATGTGATAGAACCGGATGATTTCGTGCACATATTTGACGCGCATACTTTCGAACGATCTCAAGTGATCGACTTGTTTGGAGAAATTGCAGGCGTCTCCTTTACGCCAGATACCGATGGGTTATATATAGCAAATGCTGATGAAAATTATGGGTTTGTTCTTGATTTCACTTTATCATCATTTAATATATCGTAATATGTCGTATTTTTTGTGCTCATCCACCGAATGTCACCATTTTTCCAGGTGCATCCTAGAATATGAAAGGATTCTCCCTACAAATCACATAGGAAACATTCTTTCATAACCCATCTACTCTTAAAAACTCGAGATAAAATGAATTTTTAGGAGTTTGAATATTTTACTGCATTTACACGTAATCATCGTTCCCGTCCCAACTTTTTTTACTGGTTATCATTTATTAGAATTGTTGCAGATTTCAACAGTGCAAATTTATTTTAGAATAGGCGCAGTATTTATTGATGGCTTATGTAGTGGGAATAGAAATATATTGCAATATGTTATATTGAACTTTCATTTGTAAACTTGGTTTTTTTCATTATATCATTATAAAAACCAGGTTTGTGCATTATAAAACTCAATTGTAAATTTTATGTTTGCTTATTTAAAAAGTTAATATAGTTTATTAAAAAATCAATAGTTTTTTTTTTAAATATTATTATTTTTAAATATATTTTTAATTTATAATTAGATTAAATAGTTTATTTTTATTGTAATTATTATTATTATTTTTTTTTTTAACCCACAACCATGTCACATGGCTTGATCTTTATTGAGAAGTTATATAACTATCTACAATATTACA